GCATGCTCTTTGGCAACAGAAACCATAGCAGAACTTGTACGTGACTTCAAGTTCAACCTAGGAAGTAGAGTTTTAGTATGTTGTACTATAACCTGTAAATAAAATTAAGGCCAAATAACTTTATAAGAGTTTAAAATCATCAACTTCCTTATAAGCCAAAAGTTTTATAAAATTGCAGACTCACACGCAAGAGAATAGGAACAAAATAAAACAACCATTTTCTGTGAAAACTAAAAACAATGAGTGAAATTATAAGTACAACTAATCATATGGAGACCGATGCTACTTAGCATACCTGGTTCAACTTTTTTGCCAACTGAGAAACATCACAATGATCAGCTAGACCATTGTATTTCTGTATAGTTCAATAAAAAGTAAAGAACACGTGCATATGTTTCTAGAACTTATGTTAAGCTCTATTATAATTATATCATATAGGTGAAAATTTTCTTAGCTTGACGGTAGGATTGTACTTCCAAGTTGTCTGGTATGAAAAAATTTCAACTATATAATAAAATTATAATAGAGCTCAACATAAGTTTCTAAAAAATATCCATGTGTTCTTAATTTGTTAATGAATTTTATGGAATACAATGATCTAGCTGATCGCTGTGGCGTTCCTCAGTTAGCAAAAAAGTTGAACCAGGTATGCTAAGTAGCATCGGTCTACAGATGATTAGTTGTGCTTATAATTTCTCTTTTTAGTTTTCACAGAGAATGTTTGTTTTCTTTTGTTCCTATTCTTTTGCGTGTAAGTCTGCAATTTTATATAACTTTTGACTTAAAAGGAAGTTGATGATTTTAAACTCTAATAAATTTGTTTGGCCTTAATTTTATTTGCAGGTTATAGTACAACATACTAAAACTCTACTTCCTAGGCTGAACTTGAAGTCACCTAGAAGTTCTATTTGGTTTCTGTTGTTAAAGAGCATGCCAGTTGTGGAGAAATAACATAATCAAAGGTTCTCAATTTTTTCTTGCCTTCATATTCCTACTGGCTTGGGTCAATTATATCACACGGTTGTGTAGTATGGTAGCTTGCTCATTCATTGATCATCCATTCTCATCCAAATTTCTAGTGGCATTATATTTGTATGTTGTCAGGATACAATATTTTCATCAAGATGCTGTTTGCATAAAGTTAAATATGATTTTAGCTTGGCGGTAGGATTGTACTTCCAATTTGTCTACTATGAAAAATTTTCAACTATATGATATAATTATAATAGAGCTCAACATAAGTTTCTAGAAACATGTCCATGTGTTCTTTACTTGTTATTGAACTGTACGAAATACAATGGTCTAGCTGATCGCTGTGACGTTCCTCAGTTGGCAAAAAAGTTGAACCAGTATGCTAATTAGCATCGGTCTCCAGATGATTAGCTGTGCTTATAATTTCTCTCATTATTTTTAGTTTTCACAGAGAATGGTTGCTTTCTTTTGTTCCTATTCTCTTGGGTGTGAGTGTGCAATTTTATATAACTTTTTGGCTTATAAGGATGTTGATGATTTTAAACTCTTATAAATTTATTTGGCCTTAATTTTATTTGCAGGTTATAGTACAACATACTAAAACTCTACTTCCTAGGCTGAATTTGAAGTCACGTATAAGTTGTGCTTTGATTTCTGTTGCCAAAGAGCATGCCGGGAGAAATAACATAATCAAAGGTTCTGAATTCTTTCTTGCCTTCATATTCCTACTGGCTTGGGTCAATTATATCACATGGTTGTGTAGTATCGTAGCTTGCTCATTCATTGATCATCTGTTCTCATCAAAATTTCTATTATATGGAATGGATAGCATGCTTGCATATGTTGTTGCTTATGTAAAGTGATGTGTAGAAAGGTAGTAGCATTATATTTGTATGTTCTCAAGATATATGTTGACATTGTTGAATTATGAACCTTTCTTGGATATGATGGCTTCCTATATTCACCTATTGATCATGGATAGGTGGATCAGGGCGCTCTTGTTCTGAATATTCTTTCAACATGATCGTACTTCTCTTTTTTATTTATTTTTTGGTTTGCAACAGCATTTTGTCTTATGGTTGAGGAAAGAAGGAAGAAATGTCAACGCACGAACTCTCAGGTGTGCATTCACTATATTTTCCAATCAATCTCCCTGAAGAGTTAGAGGTATGTATGTTTGTTATTACAGACTTTAGTTTTCATTAGATTGAATACGGTAATTTTTTTTATCTGACATTCTCGATGGGGACATTTGCCTTACCCACTGTTAATACACTTGAGTAAGAATGTAAGATTTTAATCATACCCGAGGGATTAGTAACAATTTTTCATCTTTTCAATCCGGCTAAATAAGGTATGATTGAAAAAACCTTGGTAGTTCGAGACTTTAATTAATAATAGACAAAGGACTAAGCTGAAAATGACAGAAATTTGACAACTAAACCTTAGTTAACCTAGAAAGGATATTGTCAACATTTTGTCATTGTAGGCTTATATCATGTTACATTGTAATTGTGATTGTAAATACTCATGTGAGTGGTGGGTATAACATCCTTGTGCAAAAAGTGGATCGATGTGAGGACTTGACTGATGATGACATTTGTACTGCCATTCAAAATCCAACTAAGCCCATTTATTTGTACAAGAAGTAGGCCTTAGTCTTGGATAAGACGGTTGTCCCGTGAGATTAGTCGAGGTGCGCGATTGTAATCTTCCATATGTGTTTATGGTTGATGGCAAACTAACGTCCAAGTACTATTCATATAGAAGAGTAAACATTGTCTTTTGGACATGAAAATAAATGTGTTCTCTTGCAAAAGCATCCGTCATTCTTTGTTCTTACTTTGACTTCTAAACCAGTGACACTGCCACATACAATTTTGGAGGGGATGTATGGATTGTACTTCTAGAATGCATATATTATCTTTCGGAAGTAAAAATAATGATTTTCATGTGAAAGCATGCATTTTAGATTCTTACCTGACTGAGTCACATGCAATTTCAGAGGGAATGCCTAAGTTTTTAATTATGGAATGCATATTTTATTTCTGATTTCAGTCGATCTACACAAACCGTCACTGTTAGAATAATAGGTTTCTTAACCATTTACTTCACTGGTCTGTCTTTATGTTAATACAATGTCCTGAAAATCTAAGGATTCCTCTGCAAGATTCGTCCATGGAGGGTGAATCAGAGCCTAAGATCAGGTCGAAATTCATAACTGTTGTTAATTAGGATGACATAGTTGAACCTAATAAAGCACCACCATCAGAGAAAACTTTAAAATCTCTAGCTATACTTGCAATTTTACCTAAGTTTAATTACCAACTCAACTAAAAGTAGCATGGAAAAGGGTGAATCAAATCACTAAACTCAGTCCTACTTCATAACTCGAATCTATCTAAACTCAAACTTACGAGCCTACAAGTGCAGTATAATTTTCTAAAGTCGAAATAGAATTCGTTATCAAATAAGGTCCAAATAATCCAGGTTGAAGTTCATTATATTTACATATTTGAATAAAGGAGAATTTTCCATAATTTTGTCAAAAAATCACAATCCCCCCTTGAGAAAGTTGATGCAAAGCCTCTTCCACGCTTCTCTATCTGCCTCACCTTCCTCCAACTTGCTCTTCATATCCTCACCATACGCATCCTGCGGCCAATATAATATAATATGAAAGATTTTTCCAAATATATTTCATCTCACAAACTATGTTATAATATTAAAGATGAAGATTATTTATGAAATTAATTTTGATGAAATCCACGCGTACGGTGGAGTTTTGATCAAATAATATGGACGCACCGTGATGAGTTTTCGTTGGGCAAGACGATCAATCAAGTGCAGAAGAATGTCTTTGGTGTACTCTGGGTGACCTTGAATTCCCAGAATGTGATCTCCATACATGAACATCTCGATTCCGGTCTTTTCTGACCGTCCGATCACTTCAGCCTTGGCAGGAAGTTCATAGATCTATGTTCATTTTCATCCACTTCACCACATTAGAATATTTCAACAATAAATAACATACCAATGTTATGTGGTTAATATATTTATTTTGACCATGAAATTGTGAATTTGAACCTCATCTCCACATGTTGTATCAAAATAATAATAATAATAATAATAATAATAATAATATCTTATATTTTCTAAACATACATTCGAAAGGTTAGTTTTTGGTCATTTTTATTCTAAAAAAGTTATCATTATAGTCATCTAATTCTATCTAATTTATTTTGATTTAAATTTTAGCATGATTGTAATGTAGCCATCAATTTGTGTTAAAGTGGTTTCATAACATCAAATTTTGTAAATAAGTATTAGAATTGTTATTTTAAAAAATACAGGACGAAAATTGACGTGGAACAAAAGTTAACCAAAATTTAAATATTTCAAAACTCTATCTAGTTATTTCCACCTCTTATGTTCAAAATAAAGTTAAAATAATTTATTCTCTCACCCTACCACCAATTATATGTCTAATTCATAGATTAAAGCATATATTTTCGATCAACAAATCGAATATTGAAATCTTTTGAATTTGGAAAGAGAGAAATAGAAACAAAAGAAACAAAAACCGAACCTCATCACGATGGCATTCGATTACGGAAAGTGCGGTTGGGATTTTGAGAGATGAGAATAGCTTGGAAGACGATGATACATGTATCGTTGTAATCCCAATGTCCCATCCAGATTTACCCCTGCCCGTTTTTCCACCCAAAGCACGTCCCAATATCTAAAAATATAAGAGTATATATCATTTACTATTGAACTATACTCGTTAAAATATAGTTATGGTTTTAAAACCTACCTCTATTTTTAGTTTGGTCCACAAAATTTTAACAATTATATTCTATTTCGTTCCCTCGTATTTTTATAACTTCCCAATTCAATTCCATCATCCGGTTATAATATGAGTCGTGTATAAATAAATAAATAAGTGATATAATTTGAAGCCAGATTTGCTATATAGTGCTGGTCTCAAAATAGATTTAAATTATTGATAAAATGTTAACAATAATGGCTACAATTTTTCAAATACAAAATCTAAAGAATAAAAATATAATATTTGAAAAATTAATGACCATTTAAAGAAAGACGAGAACATAAGGAAAACACTAGAAACATAAAAGATGGCTTTTGAGCGGAAAGAAAAAGGTTTAAAAAATTATAAAGAGTTTCACTCTCAAAATCAAAATCGTGATTCTTTTGACTCATTAATCTTGATCGAATTCCATCTTTAGATGGGATGCTTGTTTGAACTTTTGGACTATGATATCATATCAAYCACGAGTTCTATCTCAAAACTAATTGGTAAAAAGAGAAGTAACTTACTTATATTATAAACGCTAACAACATGGGATACTTAACAAAAAATAATATGAGATGTTTTACTAAATTAAAATCAAATAGTAATTCCACTAATTATACTGTAAAGTTGATACTTAAAAAATAAATAAAATAGTATCGTGAGGTGATGATTGCAGGCAACATTGTTAAGTTATTATTAATACAGAAAGCAAAGCTATTTGTTTAGCAATTTAATCCAAATAAAGGGAATTATTAATTGATTAATTAACATAATCTTTATGCTAATCTTTGATATGGCGATCATGCCTAATAAGGAAAGTTAACCTACCCATAACCGACAAAAAGCCTGTGGAATGTGATCCAATCAGAAACAGACATGTGATACGGACCCAATTAAATGCAAACACGTGCCAGCTCAACTCCACGTAATCATGATAGTATTTAGAAAATTATGAAAATGAAAATATTTGTTAGTTTTTAAGATTCAAACAAAAATTCAAAAATATTTTTAAAAAATAAATAAAATTATCAATAAACAACCAAGCCATTATTAAATTGGCATTATGTTATCATGTTGGAGGCTGACTCCAAATAAGAAATAAAAAATGCCACCTCATATCTTAATACTAATTTTTTTTCTAGCACAACATCTTAATACTAGTTCGGCATCACCATATCTAACATAGGTTAATTTTTAACCTAAACTATAGATTTTACAAAATTCAACTGGTGGAATTAATACTATGAGTCTCAATTAATTAAGTTTTCAAAATTTCAAGAAGATTTATAAGATATTATTAAAGAACTATATGGTATTATTATTATTTTTTAAGCATTGGTTATCCTCCATTTGACGTTCTTTAACCTTGGATTTAAGTATTTTGTCTTTGAGTTGAGCATTTTTTACCCCTACTGTATTTAGATATTGTAGTAGTTGCGTTTGAAAAAACACAATTTAGAGTTTTTTAATTACTTAAATTAATTAATTAGTTGCAAGAAACTAGCTCAAAAGTTTAATGGGATGAAATTAAAATTGAGCCAACTAATTACCGTGTAAAAAATAAAAATAAAAAAAGTAAACAATGCTTAAACACTTTTAATCTATTAAAGCAACAATTCGGTCTCTCCATGATTCAATCTATATACTTTCAAACTTAAAAAAAAAGAAAGAAAAAATCTCTATTGACAGTCATTTAATTCATGTAATTTAAATTTTTAACGATTTAATATTTTTCGTAAATTTTTTTATTAAATTTATTATATTAGATAGATAAATAGATAAAATCATGTTTTTTTTTTAAATCATAAAATGTGTTTTTGAATTATAAATACTAAACCGTGATTTTTTAAATGGTTACATCATAAAATTCAGCAACTAAATTTTTGAAAATTAGAGATTAAATCATTAAAGCTAAAAGTTGAATGGATGAGATTAAAATTGAGCGAACTAATTACCGCGTAAAAATACAAAAAATGAAAAGAGAAATTACAAAAAAGTACCTGGTGGCCAAAGCAGATACCGAGGATTCTCTTGTTGAGGGAGGCCAATGTGCGCAACAAATTGATCAATCGGCAGATCCAAGGATCGTCGCCGTGGGCGTCGTTGCAGCTGCCGGTAATGACGAATCCGTCGTAGCCGGCGAGGGAATCATCGGCCGGAAACTCGCCGGCGGCGACTCGAAAGAGATCCCAAGCCTCTCCTTCCTCCCCGAGCATTTTGACGAACACTCCGAAATATCCTCCGTACTTCTTCTTCACATACTCCGAATCTTCTGCGCAGAGAAGAACCGCAAATCTCTTCGTCGCCATCGCTTCTCTCTCCGCCGGATCCAGCTTTGTTTGCCGTCAATGGCGGTTTCTCTCTCTAAAACTGCGATTTCGGAGTTAGAGAGAGAGAGACAGAGAGAGAGAGAGAGAGGACGGACGACAGATGGGTTCTTGGTGGGTTCTTATTTCACGTTTACTTATTGGATCGACACATCAATTTATTTTGATTTCATTATACAACAAACAAACACACTATTTCGGTGTTTTAATAATTCGTTTTTTGTTTGTTTGTAGTTTTAAACAATAATTGTAAATATATTGTAGTTTTGAGATTATTTATAATAAAAASGGTAATTTTGAAACTATTTGTAAAATTGGTATCTTGTAAACATGATTATTTGTCGAATAATAAAAAGGTCATCCGTCTTTTTTTCCAATTGAAACATCTGTATATTTCAACTAGATAAAACACTTGAGGAGTTGTAAGTTCGAACCTCACATGTTATATTAAAAAACAAGTTACCGTTTTTTAAATCTATTTAAAAATTTTGGTTTTTTTTTTTACAAATATTGGGCAAACCTTAGGGCTCTTTCAGCACTTCTACCTCTTTATCATTAAGCAGTCATTTAAAGGTTTTAATTAGTGTGATTTGAGTGGTTTATTTTTCATTATTCCACATATGACTTCAAATTATTATTATTTTTTTTTAGTACATAACATTAGAATTGTAGGTGTGAATTCGAAACTTGTATCTATCGGAATGTCTGAATCATTGAATTAGGCTCAAGTTAACTTCACTTGATCTATAATATCTATTTTAAAATAAAATAGAAAATAATTTACACGTCAACAATGATGGGGAGATTTGTGTGTAGAATCAAAACATATAAGTGCATACATTCCATTTATTCGGATCCTTTAATTTATTTAGTTTTAGACCAATTATTTTATTTAATGAGTCATTAAAAACGATTAAATTACATGCCTGTAAATTGTCAATGGCCTCTAAAAGTCAAATTCCATTAAGTTCATGAAATGGGTTGGATGGAGAGGAGTTGGAACATGGAAATTTCCATATTTTTTTTTAATCTTTTTTTCTTTTTCTCTATATATCTTGCACATCAAGGAATAACTTAATCAAATTTTTACCCAATTACTCTCTCCCATAGATTCGTCACAGACTAATAGCGTATACAATACTAACATAGCAGCCACCCACATTAAAATATACTTTACTTTAGCCTCTATATTTTCATAAGTTGATTTTGATTAATTTTTTCAAAATTTTCAATCAAATTTTGTTAGGTTGGTTGGTTTAGAGGATCGATCGATTCATTTCTCTTCGATCCCGTCTTAACCGACTCAATTACACCATTAAGCAGGGAGAAAACTGGTCTAAAATCTAGTGAAAACATGCATTATAGGAAACTGTAAACACAACCAATGGATTAAGATCAAATAGTTAAACCAAATTCATCAAGTTATTGACCACTTCTCTCCATAGTACAAAGGAGAAGTTTTCAAGTCAAAATGAAAACAGAAAAAAAAAAAAGAAGGAAAGAAACTCAGCAAAGTGGGTAAGTTTGAACTTGTTTGATAATGATTTTACAATTTTCTTTGTTCTGTAATAAGCTTTAGAAACATTTTTTATAATCTACCCAAATTTCTTCGAATGACTTTGGATATTTAGAAATACTCTTCAAGGTCCTAAGTTCGAACCTCCATGTAGAATTTAAAACACTTGTTGCGCCTAATACTCGTTTCTAGAAGGACACGACAACCTAGAGATTAGTGGAGGTGACCACGAGCATAGCAACATACAAGTAATAGATTATGCCCAAATTTCAAGAACTAGAAAAAAAATAATAAAAAAAAGAGCCAGACAAAATCTACACATTGTTTTTGAAATTTGGCTAAAAAATTTCAGTGTTCTAAACAAATAAACTAATCAATGTGGGCGATTCAAGTGGTTCCAATCTTCTTTCAAGTGGTTTTTAGTCTTATATCAATCAGAATTGGTCAAATTTTGGTTGGATAGAATTCAAATTCATTCCCATTCCTCCAAACATTAGAGAATGCAAGGCCATCAGTAATGGCTGGGAATGAGGATACAATAAGTTTTGCTCAGATGCAAAATCCTTCATAAAGACAAATGCATTTCATTGGAAATAAAACTAAGCTACATTTCCCTTATTTCCCATTCTGCTAATGTAATCAAACAAAGAAATCGAATTCTCGATCTCCTGTTCGGACCAATCTTATTAACAAACTACCATTTACAGTAGCAAGGGAAGTTCAAGAAAGATGTAAATGAGTTATAGCTACTCATCTCCAATCCAAATTTGAAGTCAAGTTTCGCAACTAGACAGCATAAAATTATGGAAAATCTATGTTAATAATACTATATACAAAAGTTGTATTCATGGACTTACATTTCCTTGAGATCCATGTCAATGGTGTTCATCTGTACATCATCTTCTGGGATGAATTCTGTGTCGTATTGGAAGAGGCTCATACCGTCACCGAATCCTGTTCGTTGTTGCTTCCGTTCTGAACTGCAGGAGCATGGTTGTTCGCTCAAGCTTCTCTCTAACTCATATTCCATGATAATCCTTTGCAAACATTCAATAACATCTTGATCATATTGCTGCCTTTGCTCCATCATTCGACTGAAATGCTTGGCTTGAATTTCGATTGCACTCTTCTCATGTTGAAGACGAAATATCATAGCCATTGCCTCTTCAGCTGAAGTTGCAGCTGCCATTCTTTCCTTCTCAAGCTCTTCAAGAGCCTCCTTCTTGTACTTCCTTTCAATCTTCACCAATTTTCTTAATCTGATAACATCAAATTCAGCATCTTCAGAATCATTTTCTTTCTCTTCATTCTGGATATCATCTTCTACAACTACATTATCCTTCTCTTCACTCTTAACATCACCATCAGCATCCACTCCCCATTTGGAGTTTGCAACTAAATTAAATTTATTGAACAAAAATCCACTCCTGATCTTCAACCAATTCCGTCGTCTACTTCCACAAGTTTGCATAGTTTTTGAATTACACACCTCAACAACACTGGTTTTCAACCAAAATCCAGTCCTCACATAATTAGCAGATTTCTCCCTAAAATCACATAGAAATTGCATAAAATCCCCACCATGCCAACTGAATTGCAGAACCTTCAAAGCCATCCAAAACAGCAGAAAAAGCCCCAAAATGACAAAAACTCGCGGGAAACACCCGAACACCAAAACCCAGCTTTTAAACTCACTACTACTCTGTTTCAAAAACTTATTCAAACGTGAGGCGATATCCATCACCAAACCCAAAAAAACCCTTCAAGAAACTCCAAGAACACAACAAAAAGAAATGAACATCCGTATACGCGACAAAAACTAATTCAGGGTTTCAAAGCGAATCAAGAAAAAAGGTGCAGAGCATCCAAATAGCAATAGAAAGGGCAATGCGAAGGCGAAATGCGACAGAATTAGTGATAGCAAAGCTCCACTGAATCGGTGGGTGGATGGAGTACAAGTTCAGTGACCCTTACCTCCGGGGGAAGGAAGAAGAAGAAGAAGAAGAAGGCGAGTGGGGCCGATTCGAGGAAAATTGGATAACGTGGAAGAAAAAGAGGGAATCATATCGGCTCCAAATTCTGCAATCGCATGCAAATGGGATAATGTCGTACGATCGCGACAGTGAAGGCGATACACGCGAGGTGGGATTTGCCCATTTGGTTTGGGAATATCTCTCAACTATCGCTCCCTCGCCAACACACCAACACAATTTTTTTTTCCTTCTTTAAATTATTATTACAATTATCTTTTTTTTTTTGATAAATCTATTTATTTTAGGTTAAATTACAAATTTATGTTAGGTTGAATTTCCTTCTAAACATTTTTAGTTTTCAATTTCATGTCTAACAAATCATTTTAAATGATAGAATTATAACTTTTTATTTATGTGTCTAATAAATCTATGAATTTAAAAGATTTTTTTAAAATGAATTAGGATATGCTAGTGCTAGATATAAAACTGAAACATATTAAACAATTTTTAAGGTTAAGAAAAATGTTATTAGTCCTTTTTAAAGTTCACTGGAAAAAACCTTTAATTGTTTTTTAGTATATCTTATTTTATTATTATTTAAGGCTTAATTAGATAAACAAAAAGGGTAGAAGAATAAAAGTTACAACTCAACTTGATATGTGACACATATTTTAATGAAATATCCTAAGAAATAATAGGGACTAAAATAAAGAAAAGGATCACAATAATATTTTTAACTTATTTTAAGTTAAGTTATCTAATTTAGCATTTTAATTAAACTTGCAATTATTATTTAATAATTACATATTAATTATTGTTTTTTCAATTAATATTTTATTATCAATTTATAACATTTATACTAATTTTAACTAACGAATTAACATATGTGATTAAATAGTATAAATTTACAGTATCAAAATAAACCTTAAATAATTAGCTAATGCTTATGTCATTAATTAATTATCACGCATATTCAAATACTCATTTTAATTATTAACAATCCATCGCGTATATTGCATATTAAAATACATAAATTCTCCTCACCTCAGATATTTCATATTCATAGCCATCAAACATATTCAAATGGCCGAGGTCCACAATCAAATGCAAATAGGCAACTTAATTGAAAAAACAGTAACTTTCTACAAAAAATTATGATCATCATATAACATGAGGTGAGATGAGATGAAAGTATCACAAAGAAAGATATTCAAAGGCTTTTTCAGGGTTCTTTCCATCAATCTTTGAGTGATGGGGGAAATCAAGAGGTAATTTGGCAGCAGACACCGATGTTTCGTTCAGTACTTTCTCGAGTTCTTGGTGCACAATTGCGTTGCCTTCTGGCGTCAAATGCAATCCATCCCTGTATTCAAAACGCTGTCTCAATATCCCGAACTTATCGTGTAGACCATTTATATGAAATGAAGAGGATATGACATCATATGAATCTTTCTTTCTTGTTCAGATACCGTGTTAAATAAAAGTTTAAGCGGTTGGTATATTTAGACGTTTAATGAATTTTCTTCACCCCATCTCAAATATTAATCCAATTCACGAGTAGGATATCAACTTTAGACGGAGACTATTAATATAAAATGAGAACATGTAACGTTAAAGTATCAGAGGCAGACCAAATATTTCAAAACTGAGGAATTAGGAGCTAGCTCGGATTACAAACCTGAGAAATTTTTTCTGCCAACCCTCAGTTTCCTGCAACTTGGACCATAAATCGATGGCGAGGAGACCCATTTCCTTGGCTAGTTCAAGGCATTGTGTCGCATAAAGTCCAGTTACTTCATTTGTTCTCTCTGGCAATTCCCTTGCTTCATCACCATAAAGAGATCTGCAACATAAAGGTACAAGTTCATATTTACAATTCAGCATGTAAAAGTTGTCTTGGTCTGAGTAGGATTACAATTTCTCTTCTGCATATAGTTGAAACTTAGAACAATTTAAACATCCTAGAGATGGAAGCAAGGGAACTTCTTGAATAAACCACACCTTAAAAGGCTAGTTATGTTTATACCATTATTTTTTCTTTTGGATGATTGTAGTGTTCTTGAACCACCTTTACTATTTCCACAGGCATCTGCCGTAATAGGGGCATGGAGTACATCTGCACTCGCCCGTACATATATTTACACTATAGGTTCAAGGTTGTTCGAGAAATGAGACAGAAGAAGATGAACTGAAAAAAAATATATATCTTGGACCCTTGGTAATGCCCTGACATGGCTGATGGTAATATCACTGATCATTTTCATTCTTTTTTGATGAGAAGTAATGTCACTGATCATGAAACTAGTTTTAGGAAAAGTAGGAAGATGGAAAATATCTTGGTAACATTACACTCGTCAAAGTTTTCCTCAGACCAAAAGACCACTACTCTTTTTTACTGAAAAGAAATGAAAGGATACAAAAGGACAACGATTAAGAAAAAGAAATTCATACCGTGCATATTCATTACGCCCTTCCTCATCAACTGGAGGAGGAGTAATAAGTATCACCAGCGTGGTTGGGGAGCACTCCTACAACCAAAATGCTAAAATATAAAGAGATACGAATGGGGGAAGGAGCTTACAAGAAAAATTAAACTGGGTTGAATCAAAAGAGTGCTACTCAGAAAATCTAGGGAGATTCTCTAGGTAATTTCTAAGTTTTATGATCTTAAGAGTATTAGTTATAGCCGATCTCATTATTCTTCTGAGCACAAAATATGTATTCTTGAACCACAAATCTTCAACAATTTCATTAGAAATTATCGAGAAGTCTCAAATAGTGGCTAATACAACAAATTAAAGAAACTATTGAAGTCCATTGAAGCACTTCCAGTACAAGTAAGTTGCAATCCTGCTTCGAATCAATTCATAAATCATTTTTTTAACATCTCTCTTCCTGGGGTAATTGCCATCTCAATTGGGAACTTATAAACGTTTAACAAATAGAATTGATGGAATAGTGTATTATACTCATTTAAATCTACAAAATGAATGTTGATGAATTCTGCTAGAAAAAGATTTCAAGCAATGAAGGAAGGAGTCAGTACCTTCAAATGATTTACCATTTTTTTAAGATTATTCTTAAACTCTTCAAGAGGTACATGTTGTCTCTCACTTGTTCTCCCCAAAATAGCTGCATCATTGGCCCCAAAGAAAATCGTCACGACAATGGGAGGTTTTGGGATGTCCTGCAGTACAAGGGATGCAACTTATTTAGAATGCAGAATATACAAAAGATATTGTTAGCTAGTGCAAAGAATATCTACTGGATTCTTGCAAAATTTGGACTACAGAATCTCTTGGAAAAAAGTTGTAACATTTTCTAGGACTCAAAAGAGGCGTGGAAACCATAAAAACTTTGGAATGGGGCGACGTTCGTTTGGAACCCTACAGTAAGAGCATTGCCTTGTGAGCTATTACTCAAGAGATGAGGCTTTTTGGCGAAGCCAAGTCAATTTTTGGCCGCTAAACAAAACTGTGCAACAATGTGGGGGACAAATCATGCAATGTTCAAGCAAAGCCAGCTCCTGTACCACTTAACCATAATTGATTGTTCGTCACAAGTATCCTGGGTAATATCCCACCATGAACTTATTTAGATTTCTAAACATGTTACTATACAATATCATTCACTAAAATGTATAATAGTAGTCCAAGATCTTTCACAAAATGGGTTGGGTTTGTTGCTGAATCAAATTTAATATTTATAATCTCTCTGTTCTGAACATCACAGTGACAATAACGACCAAGATTCAACTTAATGAACACAATGAAGCAAACATTGAATCAAATGCAAGTAAACGACCCCCGCATTGGGCTCACAGAATCGAGATCAAAAGAATAATCTAAAATCAAAGTAGACAAGGAGCAGAAAGAGCAGTATACTACAGCACAAACCAATGGGAAAATGTGGTGAAGCAAAAACAGTGCCCAGCGAGAATTGTATCCGCCATAGCCACGAACTACCACATCAGCCTGTCGATTGCCCAGACGAGAATCCAATTTAGTGTTTACCAATAAAAGGGCTTGAAATGAAATCAACAACTGAAACGAAGAAAAAAGAGAAACCCCACCTTCCGCGAGTAAGTGTCAGCAAGAGCAGCCCCCCATCCACCTGAACCGAAGGATTGGGCAGTCAAAGAATCTCCAAATAGAACGATCTGAGGCCTCATTTTTTCTTCTTTGATCCAAAAATCGCCTCTCAGAAAGAAAATGGGCTGTTACCAACTAAAGTGGTGTTATTGGCAGGGCGATCTGATCTATACTTTAAGCGTTCAATTCAAGGAGTGGAATTGAAGTCAGTGGTACAGACACATATAGCTGGGTTTGGCCCACGAGAAAAGGAGGAAAAAAAATCACGTTTATTTTTGGAAAGATTTTTTTCTTCATACAATGAATCGGAGGTACAAGAGTTTTGAACTTCAAACTATAGTATTATATAGTAGATTTCAAACTATAGTTTAAAATTTATAATAACGAATTATATTCATTCGGACCATAAATTATTGATTAAACTTATATATTTTTGTTTTATATAAGATATTAATATCTGTTTGGTAATGTTTCCATTTCTTATTTTTTCGTTCTTAATTTTATTAAAAAACATAAACATTTTACAACTATTTATATTAATTGGTTTTCACTTCTTTTTTCGAAACATTTATAGAAATTTGGAAAACAACAAAAATAAATTCTTGTTTACGATTTGTTTCAAAATATAAATAAAAATATTGTTTTGGTCATACGATTAACATACCTATTTGATCAACTATAATCACTCATTTACATGGTTTGCCTTTTGTTATACTTGTAATTGTTTTTTAGTTTTTATTTCATAATGCTGAACCTAAATTAAGTTTAGAAAAAAAAAAGCAAAGTTTTATAAACAAATTCTTGTTATCCAAAATCTCGAATTTTCTTCAACTAATTAGTAAGTTGTTTTTAGTTCATTTCATCTATTAGAACTTTTGCAAGATTTTTTGAAAAATAAAAGAAGGATGTGTTTGACATTACTCTGGATGGACGACTATAAATATTTTTGAAAAAAATGGTGGCATTTAGATAAATTTTAAAGAGGGTAAAAAAATGCTTGTAATTAATTAAAAGTACTTTTTAACATTTTTTAATACTGAAAAATTCTAAAAATACAGGAAAAAGAATACTTAAAAATACTGTTAGATAAATAGCTTTTTATAGTACATGTATGTACTTGCTAGAGACCATAAGTAGAAATGCAGAGGAAGAGTACAAATACAAAAAAATTCATTCTTAGTATCAGCTCGACGTGGGTTTCGCTAGAATTTTTAGATCGACAAACTGAACTCCGAGACTTTTAGTACTAAGTAGGACTGGTGTCGAGTTAAGTCAAATTAGATTGCAAAAATAGTGTACTTTTGAGAACGGTTGTACTGTACCTTATGTACGAGGAGAGCATTGAAAATCGCAGCTGTTGTAGGTGCTTGAATATCAGAATTATATTTTTTACTGTCGAATGTCAATAGATTTCTTGTCAGTCCCAAATCGGGATTGAGTTGAGCTCTCCAGGTGATGACCCATGCTCATCCTCCTCTTCTTTGAAATGTTCGAATTAAGGCCCGACACTCATGTCCAAGTGGGGAGAGCCACATATTTCACTAGATTTTACTCATAATATATATATATAACTTGATCATATGACTTGACCTTTTTCATGGTTTTATTAACATTTTTAAGCGTGTTATGTTGCTTTCCATGTCTATTGTAAATACTTTGCTACAAGTACATATTCCTATTTAGCAATATTAAGTACTAGAATGATTATTACTTTTTCTCTTGAAAATTTAGTTATTTAAATAAATAGTTCAAAAATATAAAGATCAAAATAGTTATTTTTAGACCAAAATAATCATTTAAAAAATTTTGAGATCAAAATGAAACAAACTTAAAATTTCAACGACCAAAATGAGATTTAAAAAGAGAAAAAAAGACATTATAATCAAATAAAAAAAGAGATATATAACTTTCTATTTTTAAAATTTATCTTTTATAGTTTTATATACTTTTTTTTCCCTTCTCAAGCCTTATTGTTACTAAAAGTTAATGGAAAAAGATGTGTAAATTTTTTTTTTCCAGTATAACAAATAAGTTGGTTATCGTCATAAGTTAAATTCTGTAAAGTGAATATATTTTCTAATTTTATGAATTTACATGTCTACTTCATTAAATTAAAATAAACGTACTTTCACATTAATTTGATAATACATACATATATATAGTACAACCATAAGATATATTTTGATGTCCTGTTATTTATTGATAAATTTTAATATTTTGTGACACATCAAAATTTGATTGAAAAAACAATACAGATAATGAAATATAAACGATAGTAGACCAAATGTTATAAACATAAACATAATAAATTAATATAACCTAGCTAATAAAAAATACGATAATATTATAATGGTGAGATTAATATTATAGAGATTTTCCGTACGTAATTGGCTGACATCATTCAATATTTTATGGTTTTCAAATTTCAAGTCTATTATTAGTTAATCTTATATTATTATTTTCTGCATAACAGCTCACCCTAATTTCTTTTATAATTTTAAAATTGCTCCTTCTTTTGAAAATTGATATGTAGTTGACTAATTAAAATAAAATAATAAAAAAAAGTTGACAGAGTGAATCTAAATTTAAAAACGTTAAATAAGTTCTTCAAAAACTTCTAAAATTTTAATTCCTCTCTCTATCATCTAATCAAACCTTATTTATGTATTTTTTTTAGAGCTCATCAAACCTTATTAAATATAATTAGCATCATAAACTATTTGTAATCAAGTAAGGAAATCTAATAAACATGATAAATTATATACTTCAAAAGGAAATTACCTTAACTCTCTTTTCAATTTTCAACAAATTAAGATTCCAACCCGAATTAGTTTTTTTTTTAATTAAGGTAAGCTATCATATCTTATAACAACAAAAGTAAAATATTACATTATAGAATTCATCTGACCTAACACATCTTATTTTTCATATTAATTGTCTTTATTTAGACTTTTACTTCTCACTAATATGATAGAGATACATCAACCTGATAAAAATAGGAAAAATAAAGAAAATTTTAAAAATAATGGAACAAAATTGATACATAGGATTTAAAAAATATAATTTAATCTATAATGCATGCACGAGAGGGAGGGCTTTGATAAATACTAGGTGGTGTGAACATATATATCATGTATGTGCAAACAAATCTCAAGGGATATGTAACGTTGTACAAAATTCAAAGTTAATAGGAAAGAAGAAAATTAAAAGGGCAATAGGTTTTGGGGTTTGAGCTTTATTTTATTTAAATCATTGTAATATTGGATTCGATGAGTCAAAAAAACTATGATCTTAAAAAAGACATGTTAAGGATCACAAAGGTATAATAGACATTGATTACTCCTCACATAGTCAATTGATTTTAAGATGAAACCTCGTAAATATTAATACATCATCTTAGCGAATCATCGATGATATGATTGTAAATATCTTCAACGCATGAATAAAAGTTAATTTTGATTGGTGTCGCACAAAAAAATTATCTTATCATATTTCCTTAACGAAATCAGTTCAGACAAACATGCAAAATCCAAATTAAAGGTATATTTGGGAGTGGTTTTGGCGATGCTATTACCAAAATCACTTCTCTTTTCCATTGTTTGACAAATCATAATTTTGATTTTAAGAAAATCTTAAATCACTTTTTCAAAATTATTAATTCTACCCTCATTTCCAAATACACCCTAAATGTTTTAAATTTTGCATATTGACAAGGAAGACAACATGAATAAGTAGCATGTTTTAATTTAAGCATGCAAAACTGCTTAGAAAAATTATTAAAGACCATATAATTCATAATTATTATTCAAGAATGTACTATACCTTTCCATATAAAACAATCATGATTAATATATCTAAAAAAACACATCCGATAAATAGAAATAAGTAAAGTTCTTCCTCAACTATATACAATTAAAATCTGGAAAAAAAAAGAGATTCCCTATGTTTGAATACGAATGTTTAGGCTTTAAGAGACATTAGGAACCATTAACCTTAATTAATGTAGTATAAGACCACCACAATTCCAAATTGATGTACTAAAAAAAGAAAAAAAGGACTAAGATATATTTATAGATAGAAAATTTAAATTAAATCTCTCTATGGCTACTTGTGTCTTTTATTTGTTATTAGTTTCTAATGAAAAACTTCTAATTAAGTTGGACTTAGGTGATATTTTGATGTTGATTATTATAAAATTAGAATGCTAATTTAGGGGTGGGAGGGGGCAGAGGATTTTTGATGGTGGTTGTTGCATCAATCAAAGTCAATGGAATATTGTTGGTTTTTTTTTTCTTTCACATTTTTTAATTATTGTATATATTGCTTTGTGAGATAAGCAGCAATTCAAAAACTATTGATTGGTTCTCAATTTTGTTTTATTAGGAATATAATCCATTCAAATAGCCAAATACGCCCTAATGTAAACTACACGCGTTAATTTTTCAATTGCGACGTTACAACAATAGTTTGGTTAAGGCATCTATCCCTCTCTGACCAAAAGGTCATGAGTTCGAATCTCATCCCCAGATATTGTACTAAAAAAAATTATTATCAAAGCAATTGAAAATTTGTCACCATATATTATATTTATTGATGATTGATTGTATTTAATTAAGCTATTTTTTTTTCTAAAGGGTTAACAACTCTCTAACTACACAATTCAAGTGACAATAAAAGTACCTCAAATTTTTTTGTTGTGCGAGAATCAAGAACCTAATATTAATATTAATAGAGATGGAAATCAACTAAGCTCAAATATAGCAAAAATAATCGAGAACTAATTATTATTGCAACATGAGCATGTCTCAGCAGTAAATGATCTTTACTCCTTCTCTTGAGGTCCGACGTATTCAAATCATCATTCCACACATTTGTTATACTAAAAATGATTCCATAATATTTGCTCAAAGATCCGAGAGTCAATCTTAGATTGTCATATATCACTCAAAAAATAACTGAGTTATTGTTTTCTTCGACCTCTCTTGAAATTTATTATGATCTTGAAAGTACGTTTTTATAACTCGAAATGCTAATGTATCAAAGTATAAAAAGGATACTATAAGCAAACTACATATAATTTTACTTCAAAATATAATATAAGTTAGCCCAAAAAAATTCTATGACATAATCTACATGAAAAGAAACAAAAGCCTAATACATATAAAAGGGAATATGGTTCTTACCTATATAGCTATATTAGTTAGACCTCTATGAATAATAAAGTGTATTTATATGATAGGCAAGTGGGGCTATTTATTTAATTAATTACTTTTTTGGAATACATTAATTTTATCAATTCTTTTATTCCTTTCCTTTCCATATTCTTTGAAAGTTTTACTGTGGAAGAAAAAAAAATGGAAATGATGGGCTAATAAGTGTTGCTTCAACTCTTTGTTTCAACATAGGAATTTGCTTATTGAGGAAAACTTTACTTTTATGGAAAAACCCTAAACCAAACTCTAACTTTCTTTCTACACAACCCACTTGCCATTATATATATAGTAATTAAAGTCACTGAATTCATTTTTAATATTATGTATGTAGTTTGATTAATTAAATGATCACTAAAGATTATATTATATTATATTATAAAGTTTTCTTATGTGGAGGGACCCATCTTTTGATATAATTTAGATTATACCGTACAATTCTTTGTTGGCCAGCAATTACCTAGACAATTTGGCCATTTGTGTGCAAATGAATTCTCCCATTTTATATTGGTGCAAAAGGGGAAAAGGATAATTATTTTAGAAGAAATACGAATTGGGAAAACTTCCAAAATTAGCGTAATTCAACTAATTAAGACGTCTATTTTCGACTAAAAAGTCGTTAGTTCGAATTTCCACCGACGTGTTATTCCTAAAAAAAAGAAAATTCCTCCCCTTCATTGACATCATAAAAGGCAAAAAAACGCAAGAGAATTACCCACTTCCCCTAATTAATTTGTTTCATCAATTTCATGTAGAGGTCCGATCTTGGTCAATTTGATGGGAGATTTTAAAATTTTTGATGATCCAACAAATTCGATGAAACTAATTTAATAACATCCACTGAGTTGGGTTTAGAGTTAGATTCAAATTAGAATTTGAGTTAAAATAAATTGAAATCAAGTTCGCTCAAAATTAGTTTGAGTCGAATCAAACCAACTTTCATTTATTATTAATTAGAAAAACATCTTCTATTCCGATAAGATCTGACATATATAACTAACTTAATTTTAATTTTATTTTATATCTTATTCGGTAATTCTTTTACATCTTTTACATTTTTAGATAACTTTTAGAAAATAATTTTAAACGCTTTGGAGTATAATTTTCCAAAATATATATAAAAATTGATATAGAGTTACTAATCTTTTCTAAGTCAATGTTTGTTACATAGATGCCTAAGTGAATAATATTGTTGTATTCATTATTTTATTTATTTTTTCAATAATTTCAATGAATAACCTGAAATTTCATAGTTGGATTGGATTGTATTCATCATTTAGTTAGGATTTGTCATTCGAACACTTGAATTAGGTCTAAAATGCCCCTTTAATCCAACCTGACTTAATTAATACGAGAGGAAACATCTATAAACTTAATCTAAATTATTATGCTCTTTTTAAACCGTATTCAAAATAACCGTTTTACATAATATATTTTTAAAATTTTCAATGATGTACGTAGTATCTAATTTTTGAGATTCATCTCCAAAGGATGGAGTAATTTGATTGAAATGCAAAGGCATATATAGAAAATACATATATATTACACTCTAAAATACAAGAATATTTTCTTTCCTTTTATCATATGTTGGAGTTAGATTGTGCATGATTGGAGTTGGTATAGTAGGTTTAGAATATAGGGGTCGAACAATAAATAATTTGGAAATGGAAGTTAAGTGATAATATTTTAAATTAATTCCATCTAAATTAATTGATATTCTTTTTGGTAATTATACTCTCGTATTATTGATTGTTATTATTCTTTTAAAATATTTTATGTGTGTGATGTATTATAAATTATTTGATTTAACCTAAATTACAAGAAAAATTGGGAAGCCAGATTTTGTCGACGGAGTTGCAAAAGGACTCCTACGACAAAAATGTAAGCGTACGCTTCAACAATGAAAATACGTTTCGTCATTAATTCCACGACGGAAGTAGTTTTCGTTGTTTACCCACTTGAACATATTCTCATAATTAATTACGGTATAGACCAAAAGATTATGAACTCAAATATCCTACAGGTAATTTTAAATTATATTTTACTAAATAATAATCACGAGATAAAATTAGATGAAAGATTACACACATTTTATGCATGTCGGTTTATATTAATTTTTAAGTTGTCATTTTAGATTCATTTATATTTTTGGTTGAATGTATGATTTTGTAGGGTTTTTAAATGCATCTTTTAAAACTTTCAAATTGTTTTCCATCACTTTAACGTTTAAGTTTAATTAAATCGAAACTTAAACAAAATTACAACTTAATAAAATCCAATTACTTAGAATGGATTGATTAAGTTTTGTAGGTCATCGATTTTTTTTTAATTGAATTAAATAAAACTTAGTCAAAATGCAATAAATTTTGGCAGACCAAAACGACGTGTAGGTTTTAATTTTTCTGAAAATTAAAATTGACTCCAAATTAAAAGAAGTTGTGTTCACATGAATTGGTTTAGCAACAGCTCTTAATTGCAACATTAACAATATATTTTGAAGGGTAGATTAGTCATGAGTATGGTTATTTGTCATTTTTTATTATTTTTAAATTAGGTCTATTTTATTTAATACCCTTATTTTATATTTCCACAATGATGAATCACTGTATCTCCAATTCATTTCTAGTCACATTAGTTGCCTCAGAGTTTCAAATGTATATTTATCTCTAGAGTTAGAACGTATGAATATTATTATTTTCAATAAAAATAAGTACTTGTTAATTGAGTAAGTTTTATTATATAGTTGCACCCTAAGGGGTGTTAGTGCATAAGAGGCTTGGGTGTTGACATCCAGAATCCAAGTTCGAACCCTCATGTGTCGAGAAATTAAAAAAAAGTTTTACTATATATAGTTAGTGATGATAAGAACGTCGACGTTAAGTTAACGAAAAGAATTAAATATAGCAACTTGATATGAATTAGAAAATATCGTTAATAGTACACATTTGCCTTGTTCGATTAAAAAACGTAGAGTAGTTCGTAATATAATAAAATACTATACAAATTAATACTAATTGAATTGAAAACTTTGAAGACTGTGTAATAATTCAGAGACTATTATTAAATGACATCTTAGCTGTCACTAATAAATAATTCTGCATAAAAAATTTAAATTGCAATACTTTTAGTGCATAAAGGTATATTTTTCTAATTTCCACTTCTATTTAAATAACTTTTCATATATTACTGTAGGTTCCAAGTCGCGACTTTCAATTTTCGATTCAAAAGCTGTGATTAACTTAAAACTGCCTTGGTCCACTTAAATATGCTCCCAATATAAATATTATTAATGAAATGATGGAGCTCCTCAACTCAAATTTAAATGGTAAAAATAGTACACCATAAATTAGTTAAGAATAATGAAAAAAAAAAAGACTAATTAAATA